ACAGTTAAAATGTCATGTTCAAGGGGCTGGAGAGAAGGCTCAGCAGCCAAGAGCACTGGCTGGCTTTCCAGAGGGGCAGGTTTGATTCCCAGCACCAACATGTGGCTCACAACCATCTGTAACTCCAGGTCCAGAGGATCCAACGACCTATTCTGGGCTCCACAGGCACCATGCAGACAAAACACTCATACACTTAAAATAGTAATAAAAAAGAAGTTAAGTCATGTTCAAGCTTTGTGAAAAGTGTCATTCATGTTAACAAGAAACACACAAAAAGACCAGGAGGTACTTTACATGAGTATGTGCTGTTTGTATTAAAGTCCTCAAAGAGCAAGCTCTGTTTTGAAGATTGTAAACAAGAAGAGACTCTGACGCTTACTGATTTCTATTTGATGACACAGAATTTTCAGGCTGGATGCTTGGGGTGTTTGGTTGAAATCTGACTTCCCCTCCACCGCCTACATAATTTTGGTGCTGGGATGTGTGGGAGGTGTTTTCATCTTAGTAGAACATATGCTGTTGAACAGTTTAACACTGAGGACAGTGGAAATATTCCTGGAGGTCATTTGAAAAAAAAAAAAACTGTCTTTATAAGACAGTGTCTGTAAACCACATATATAGACCTCCAAGTGTTAGCTTCCCTGGCTCTATGCCTTCCTTGTCTGGGTCCTGCAAATTCTTGCAGTCACTTCAACATGGATAGCTCTAGGGGGTTAAGGGATGAGGAGTTGAAAAGAGACAATGGTTTTACCCATTTGTGGCTTAAGTATCTCATTTTTACAGATATGTTGGCCATTGGAACCGGTCCCCACGGGCTCCTGTTTTGAGTGATTTTCCCAGTAGGTGGCACTATGTTGAGACACTATGAAAGTTTTAGAAGGTAGGCTCACACTGGTGGGACTAAGTCACTAGGGCAGGGCCTTGGAAAGCTGTGCCCCACCCTAGGTTCAGGTTGGTGTTCTCTTTACTGTCCAGTCGGTCAGCAATGAATGATCAGTCCACTGCATGAACGGTTCTGTGTCTTCTTTGGCATGACTGACAGGGGCCTCTGGAGCTTAGAGCCCAAAACAAGCTATTTTCCTCCATTACTTTTCCCCCCTTATTTCATTTTCTGGTTTGTGTTCATGGTGTGCGTGCATGCATGCGTATGTGTGCGCATTGTTTGCATGTGTGGGGGCACACGTGTGGGTGCATGTGAAGGCCTGAGGTTGAGGTAGAGAATTGGTCTTGATCACTCTTCCACTGAGTGATATGGCTGGTCTCACTAACCTGGTTGCTCTGGGGACCCCCCCTTCATCTCTGCCTCAGAAAGCTGGGCTTCCAGGTAGGCCACCACACCCATTGTGAATTTATAAGAATTCTGGGAATCTGAACTCCTGTTCCATGGTTCCCTCTCACTTTATTCTAACCCCTGAGCCATCTCCCTGGGCCCCTTAGGTCGTCCTGACAGGCATTTTGTTCAATGTGTAGCAAAAGTGACCAGTGCATTCATGAACACCTATTGCCTGGTAAACAAAGGCAAGGCCCACTCTGGGTCAGGAGGGCCTGTGGTAGTGAGGCACTGTGAACCTTCCATTCAAGGAGCTTCCTGCAGCCTGGCCTTGGCCTCCACCATCTTCCCAGCCCTACCCAGCTTTCTTGGATTACGGCCTTTACCTCCTGTGTCTCTTTGTTGCTTTCAATTTTCTCCTAAGATTTAAATATCCCCATTGCAAATATTACTGTTCCAGCTTGGAAGGACACCCACAGGCTCCTGCTTTGGATGCTGGATCTCCATTTGGTGGTACTGTTTTGTGAGGTGACCAACAGGAGCCCATAACAACTTAAGTCAGATCATGCCATTCCTCTGCTCAGACCCAGGAGTCTCCTGCAGTTTCTTGAATGGCCAGGCTCTTCCATGAGACCTTTCTTCTGTGTTCATGCAGCCTGGACGACATCCTCCAGGTGTCCCCACAGCCCAGCAGAGGAGCCTTGTTTGATCTCTGTTTCAAAACACACCACACACAGACAACACACACACACACACACACACACACACACACACCACACACTACACAAACGCACACACAGTGCACCCTCTCTTCCAGCCATTGCTTTTCTACATCATGAAGCAGACTATATGTTAAGTATTCCACTGTGTTTATGTCTGACAATCTGGACAGTGAGTTCCCTGTGGTGTGGCTGATACACAGTGGCCAGTCTCCAGTGAATGCAAGGTCTCTACCCTGGGGTTCTCTCTCCTAGCCTCTGCAGAAGCCCACAGGGCTGTCTCCCAAGAAAGGCCATGAGAGGATGCTCAACAGAAGGCAAGGGTCCTAAAGAGAACAGCAGGAGTGAACTGCTAGCAGAGATTTCCAAGCATCTAAGCAGCTTGTTATTGGAAAGAACCATTTTCAGGTGAATCGAATCGCTGGAGCACTGAGCCCTGACCTATGGCACCCCCCCCCCAGGATATAATCAAGGTGGTCATGGTATAAATAGGACACTGACACATTGTACTATGTGTATTTTAAGTTCAAGGAGAAAACGCAAGGGGGGGGGGAGAGAAAGATTTGAAGCACTTCTTTGCTCCCCCTCCCCTATGTATTTATTTAGGTTTTTGGAGACAGGGTCTCTCTAAATTCACTATGTAGACCAGGCTGGTCCCAAATTCACAGAGATCTATTTGCCTCTGCCTCCAGAGTGTGGGGAATAAAGGCCTGGGCTACCACACCAGTTTGTTTGCTTGTTTTAGGGTCTCACTATGTAGTTCTGACTGGCCTAAAACTTGATATATAGACCAGGCTGGTATCCATCTTGGTCAGGAAAGGGTTGGGGCTCTGGTGTTGTAAGTGAGCTTAGACTATAATAGTATTATGGAAATAATATAGATATAATATGTTATGTTATAAATGTGGTATGTGTAAGGAATCCAGCACCAACCTTTTCAAGAAGTTTAAGAAAGCAAATGTGATGGTAATTCCAGCTCAGAGATGACTCAGGAGCAAAGGAACTTGATGCTCTTTGAGAAGACCCAGGTTCCATTCCCAGCACCCACACAGTGGCTAACATCGATCCATAACAATTCCAGGATGTCTGACACCCTCTTCTGACACTACACACTGGTGGGGCACAGACTTACACAAAAAGAAAGAAACCATCCCATACCAGTTGAGGTGATACACACCTTTAATCTCAGAGCTTGGGAGGCAGAGGCAGGCTAATCTCTGTGAGTTCAAGGCCAGCCATGTCTGCAAAGTTTTGTGGTTTCATAGGTAGACTTTGCAGATACAAGTCCAGGGTTCTGTGAGAACTTAGAATGTGGTGTAGCTTAGCAAGAACAGGAAAGGAACCATAGCTAAAAGGAAAGCATTGGAGTGCACTGACATGTCAGGAATTTTTCCTCCATTCTTAGACATACAAGAATGAAACTTCTAAAAGTTATTTTCCCCCAAAGTTGTTTATTTTGCTTTGTCTTTTGCTGTTGTTTTGAGATCTTGTCTTAATATATATCGTTTGATAGTCTGGAATTTACTGTTTTCCCAGGCTGGCTTTGAACTCATTGAAAACCCTGCCTCAGCCTTCTGAGTGGACAAACTGTAGGCTTGAGCCACCATATGCAATTAACAGAGTCACTTTAATTTTTAAGAACAGAGGTCCTGGGCTGTTCCACACAAAGCTCAGGATGCTGTGCTGGGTACTCCTGTATATTGTGTGAGATGTGATGGTCTCTGTCTTTCTCTGTGTGTGTGTGTCTGTCACTGTTTCTCTCTGTCTCTCTCTCTCACACACACACACACACACACACACACACACACACACACACACACACACACTATGTCGTTGATGGAAGGGGGTCAAAACTAAAATCTATGTAGAACACCCAGCATGGAATGGCTCTGCTGGTTAGTTGAGGTATGTGGACAATCCTCCATCCTACTAACACATATGACCATCCCTACTCCTTTCATGCCTGAAGCCAGGCAGCCAGGTTCAAGCAAGCTCTTCTCTTAAATTCTGGCAGAAATCCATGCACACTGGGTTGGCACTCAGAAAGGCCACCTCCCCTATTGCCCAGAAACAAGAAGGCCAAAACGAAAACCCCAGGAAGGCCCCTCTTGTTTGGTTCCCCCCCCCCTCCATGCGCAGACCACAAACCTGCAATCGCTAGTTTGTTTTTTTTTTTTTTTTCTGGGCACAGTCATCTTGACTTCGCAATTTTAAAACTGCCAGGTGAAGAGGGACGCACTATGCCTCTACATGGTCGGGCAAGAACATAGCAACCATGTCTTAGTCCTTAGCCAGGTGCCATCTTAATCTTGAAGAAGCAAAAGTAGCTGGTTCATGGAACCTTAGCATGGTCTGCCCAGATCCCAGAATGAGTGACGATGGACCGACGTGTAGCATGGCAGAAACATTCTTGGGTCGCCTTTCGTGGTTTCTGCTTCTGCTCACAACCTCCTCTTGCCCCTCCCCCGCATCAGAATTCACCCTCGGAGTCACCCCGCCCCCTCCCTCCTACTGGACTGGACGACGCCCCAGTACAGAAGCCCTAGGGTGCCTGATGTCCCCGCAATGCCAAGGGACTCAGTAGCGGTCCTAGTCCCCTGGCGCCTCTGGGCCACAGAGAGAGTGAGAGTGGTCCAGGTGCGGCCTCGGGAAGAAAGTCCCCTCCCTCCCCCATCGCTGGTGACCTGTGCTGGGACAGGGAAGCCACCCACCCAAGCCTCTCCAACGAACTCCTTAAGAGTGAGTGGCTGGAGGACCCCAATGGCTGTGCCGTGCCAGCATTCCGTCCCCACCCACCCGGCGTCTCCTCCCGTGGGTGGGCTTCGAGGCTGCCACGTGACTTCCACTAAGCACAGGGCCCCTAACGGAAAACAGCGACTTGGGTGGGATCTTGGACCCCGAGGTGCGGCGAGAGGGCGGGGAGAGGAGGAAGCGGGGGCGGGGTGGGAGCAGGGGGCGGGGACGGGACGCGCGGGGTGGGGAGGCGGGCGCCCGGAGCCGGGAGAGCGGGAAGCAGCGGAGCGGGGCGGGGCGGCAGGTGCGGGGATGCGGGCGGAGCGCGGGTAGCAGAACCCCGCGTTCAGGGCGCCCCGTGTGGTGAGCGCGCGGCATGTCTCAAGGGCCCCCGGCGGGCAGCGTCCTGCAGAGGAGTGTGGCAGCGCCTGGAAACCAGCCGCAGGTAGTGGACACTGGGGCCGGATGCGGGGAGGGGAGTGGAGGTTCAAGGCACAGCTCGACGTGCGCTCCAGTCGAGCGCCTCGGGCACCTGAGAAGAATGCAGTCCATTCCCACTCCAGCGCCCGACACGTGGGTCTGAGCGTTGCCGGGGCCACTGCGTCCTTGCCCAGTGTCAGCGCTGGAGTGAGAGTGCAGGAGCTCACGATACTGTGAATTCAGCCCAAAGGGGCGGTTCGTCCCTGCATCCAACCCACCCGGCTAAGGTCAGCATGGGGACCGTATGCCTGCTATTGTGGGGTTGTGCCTCTAGTGGGTAGACTCCACCCCCCAGCGCGGGTGGAAACTCCTCGCCCCCATCTGATCAGTCCCTTCTGCTGTCCCCAACTTTCACAGCTGCATCGCAAGAAGCTGAAACAGCTGGGGAACCCTTCTTGGCTAAAGCAACTAGCTGGTCTTATCTTAGTCCCCCATTCCCAATTATATGCTTGAGATATAGTGTCCTGGGCTGACTCCGAAGTCTGAGCCACATAGATGAAGGAGCCTTGTTCCATTTGCTTCGCCTCTTCGAGCCTCAGTTTCCCTATCTATAAGTTGAACCCTGAGGGTTTCTGCACAGATTATTTGTGTCTCCATGCAAGATTTCTGCCGAGTGGGCAGGTGTGATCTGCAGGGACAGATCCTGAGGACAGGAGGCATACTGTCCCTTGCGCTGAGACATGTTGGCTTTGGAGAATAAAGAGGTCAAAATCTGTGCATCTCAGGCCAGCCTCAGCAGCTGAGACTGACCACCGTTGGGGACACCTAAGGAGGACTAATGGAGTTCTGAGTATAACAAGTTAATACATACACTGGAAAGATGGGTGAATTGTGTGTATAGTAGGATCTGTGAGGGTGTGGTGCAGAAGTTCAGTCATTTATACGGCCTCTCCACCTGGATGTTTATCAAGGCTCTTTGGATTGCTGGGTGTAGTGATGCAGGCCTATAATCCCAGAGCAGAGGGAAGGGGATTGTTCAGGGACAGCCTGGATTACATGAAATTCTGTTTAAAAAAAAAACAAACAAACAAAAACCAAGACTACTTCTAGAAGCCACATTTTGGCACCCTTCTGTTCTCCTGAACCGTGTCTCCATCCCACTCCCCTTGTAGTGCAAACTTTCTATTCTTACCTATGCTGAGGGTTAACCCTGAGCCTATCACTAAGTTCCCGACTCTTCTAGATGCCTTTTGGACTTAATCTTGAAGAATATTTTTTCCTCCTAATGCATTTCTAGAAAGCAAACCTTTTCCACGAATAAGTTTTCATCATGGTAGGTGTATTTTTCTGCCTGCCCACTTCATGAAGAATTTTTGGATATTTGGTTAAGGACTTTCAGAATACATCACAGATTTGCATTTGGAATAACCCCGACCTCTGAAAGAAAATGTCAGCCAAGCATTGTTCAAGTGAGCATGTCCTCATTGGCATTCCATGCACTGGTAGAATTTTGTGGCTGCAATTAGTAATAAATGCATGATTATGGTCTGCACAGTTTCAAAAGGAGTTGCCAGTGTGTGGTAATATAAAGACTGTGCACAATAAGTTCCAGAGAGCAGATACCCTGGCCTTTCCCACTCCCAGATGAGCTGTGAACCTACAGCTCTTCCAGGCAAACGCCCTGTGGGGTAGAGGTTTGTGAACGTTGGTTTGGAGACCAGCAGACCTGAGTTCCACTTCCCGCTCACCCCATGCTGGCCATGATACCTGGAGAACTTCCCTAACCTGAGTTTCTTATTCCTGTCTCTTGGTATTTTTGTTTTTTTTGTGGTACTGGGTATGGAACGCAGGGCCTCACATATCCCACACAAACGTGACACTACTGGGCTGCACCCAGGCCCCATATTCCTCATTTTAAAATCTCACTGTATATTTCTCAGGATGGGGGGTGGAGATTAGCAAAAAGCAGAGCCCCAGGACAGATTGGGTGCCCCTTTAAAAGGACCAGCAGCAGCCCACTAGAGTTACAGGGGGTACCATCCATGGTAACAGATGAAACAGTGGAGTTCAGTGAGCAAATCTGAGAGGACTGAGCTTGTGTCTTTGCCACATGTCATCCCCAGAGCCCTGAGGATGATGACAGGAAGGTTCGGAGGAGAGAGAAAAATCGGGTTGCTGCTCAGAGAAGCCGGAAGAAGCAGACACAGAAAGCTGACAAGCTCCATGAGGTGAGACTGTGGTCAGGGCAGGACAGCCACAGGGACAGCCATCCTGTGCCCTGGGGAGGGGGCCAGGGATGATGACATCATCATGCTCATCACAGTTCTACACATATGATTATGCTGGGTCTTTCCAGCCTACTTGTTTGCTTCTTTATTCACGGGCCTCTTCCCTTCAACCCCAGCCTCTGGGTGCTTCCCACATTGCATTTTCTCTCACTAAAGAATCAAACAAAAGCTGAGTGTGGAGGCATATACCTGTGGAGGCAGGAGGATACCCAGTTTGAGGCTAGTTTGACCTATAGAAAGACTGTCTCAAGAAATTACAATAATAATGGTAAAAGTTAATGTGCTCGGGGAGCTGTTCAGTAGAGTGCTTGCCTGGTATGCACAAAGATGTCCTGGGTTTTAGTCTGAACCCCACATAAGTCAGGCATGTAATCCCAGCACTCAGGTGTAGAGGCAGACAGTCAGAAGGTTAAAGTCAGCCTCGGCTACATGAGTCCTTACCACACACACACTACTGGGAGTGATAATACATACCTTTAATACCAGCATTCAAGAGGCAGAGGCAGAGTTTGAAACCAGCCTGTTCTACAGAGTGAGTTCAAAGCTAGCCTGGTCTACAGAGTGAGTTCCAGGCAAATTAGAGCTTTATAGTGAACCTTAACTCAAAAAATAAAATAAATATATATACAAATAAATAAACAAAAGAAGCTGGGTGAGGTAGCACTTGTGCTGATCAGGAAGGAGTTCAAAACCATTTTTGGCTACACAGCAAGTTTGGGGTTCAGCCTAGGCTACATGAAACCCTCTCTCAATTGAAAATAAAAACTGGAAAAGCTAAACGAAATGGCTCTTTGTGCTTTTAATTCCTTTTTCAAATTCTTGCCTCATCCTACGTGTATGGTTTGAATGAAAATGGCCCCTATTGGCTCATACCGTAGATGCTCAGTATGGAAATTGCTGAGACCATTTGGGAAGGGTTTAGGAGGTGTGGCCTCGTTGGAGGAGGTGTGTCACTGGGAGTGGGCATTGAGGTTTCAAAAGCCCACACCTTTCCCCTTTAGCTCCTCCCTCTCTGCCTGGTGCCTGTGGATTAAACGTAAACTCTCAGCTACTGCTCCAGTGCCAAACTGTGTCAAATTGTTCTACCTCTGGTTTTTGGTTTTGTTGTTTTGGTATAGTTTGTTTTTGAGAGTCTTGCTATGGAGCCTATAGAGTCTCCGTCCTGCCTCAGCCTGCCCACAGTACTGTGACGACAGGCGTGTGCCACCACTCTCTCCCACCTCCCCCCCCCCCCCCACTTTCTGTCTGCTTCCCCCTCCCACACTTTTTTTTTTTTTTTTTTTTTTTTTAGTTTTTCAAAACAGGGTTTCTTTGAGTAGCCCCGGCTGTCTTGGAACTCAATCTGTAGGCCTCCCTTTGCTTCCCGACTGCTGGGCTTAAAGGTGTGCGCCGCCAGCTTTAGCATCTGTAGTTTTCTTAAATGTTGGTGTTGATTAAGGTTTGATGTTCCACTGCTTTCTCCTCTTGGGGTGGCGCGTTTCTCTACTAACTTGTCCTTCCATCTGTATTAACATTCCAAGCATTGCTCACAGGCAGGCCTAGGGCTCAGTCACTTCTGCTTCATCCCCCGGCTCTGCGGCAAGCTCCTTGCATGCACTTTCTTGGCAGAATGTGGTCTCTTCACCGAGACTTTCTCTTCACACTACCTCCACATGGTAGCTCATGGAGCTTAACTTAACCACCTTGCTTATCTCTCACACCAGGAGCCTGTATCTAGTCTGTTTTCTCTATTGCTGAATACCACAGATTGGGTCATTGATAAAGAAGAGACTATTGGCTTAGAAGTCTCAAAATACAATACCATATCTACTTGGTGTCTGCAAGGCACCTAGTGAGGGCTTTGTGCTCTGCACCTAGTGGGGGCTTTGTAGTATGTGGTCATAGAGTGGAGGGCATGAAGGCCAGATAGCAAACAAATCAGAGAACTTGCTTCTGTAAACAGCCACTCACAATTGTAGCCCAACCACCGTGAGGGCATAGCATCTGTGATTCATCTCCCCAAGGTTCTCCCTCCCAGTACTGCTGTTTGGGGACCAAGTTTTCAGGCCAGCCATAGCACTGCCATTTATCTAACCCCATGGTTGTGTAAACATACACAGTCCCAAAGCCAGGACTGGGAGCTGCTCCTCTTCGGGACTGGCGAAGGTGGGTGTTGTTTCCACTCCTAGGGGACTGGCGAAGGTGGGTGTTGTTTCCACTCCTAGCTGTGCACGGCTGGTGTGCAGAGTTAAGGTTTAGTGAAGCTCACTCCTGCTGTGCAGTGGCCCCTCCCACTCTCGCCATTCCCAAAGCTGGTCAGGGCTTCCACAGCTCAGATATTCAGTTGTTAGGAGAGAAGAAAGAATTCCTGGAAACTCCCTCACTACAACTGGAACACGTTTAGAATGCACACACTCCAGGCAGCAGACTCACGGATAGAAACACACAGCATGGCATACACTGCAAGTGTCAGAGTCTTAGCTGCAAGCAGGAAGGCTGAAACCTGAAGGTCAGGGTCTCCAGACAGGCTTCATGGAAGGTGTGTGTCCCCCCCACCCCGTCTTCATGAGATCTGAAAACTTCCACAGAAGACTGGCGATGTCCTTTGCCTCCATCCTTCCCTCTTGTACATAAGATCGTGGTTCTTAGGTCCTACAGTCCTAAGGGTCTGTGTTGCCAAGTAGCCTTTTCCGGAAACCATTAGTGCCTAGCCCTGTATTCAGACCATGTGTGCTCGCTGGACAGCCAGGTCCCTCCCCTCAAGAAGCTTTCAGCCCAAATCAGGTTTATTGCCATTTGTAAGTCCTGAGTGACAGTATGTGAAGAGGTGACCAAGTATCTGAGATAAGGCAACACAGTAAATCCAAAGATGCTTACCAAGCACTTCCTTGGATGCAGTGTTGCTGTGGAGTCACAGACAGGAGAGACCTCATGTGTGTCTTTAGGAAGCATAGGATTCATTTCCTGTAGTGAAATCCAGCAAATTCATTGCCCTCCAGTGCTGGCAGTGAGCCGTCCAGAATGCATCCCACTGTGCTACAGTGAAGATGTCGACAGCTGTGTTCCTTCTGCGCGCTTGTGAGAAACCCACTTCCTTGCTTTTGTCAACGTCTAGGGAGTTCCATGTCCCTTGGCTTGTGGTCTTCCATCTTCAAAGCAACATTGTCCCATGTTAAACCTCCTCCTCTCCCCTGATGCTATTGGACCTGCTTGGGCGATCACTCCCCACAATTTGCTCTCACCAGCAAAGCCCCTTTGGTTAAATAAGGCCCCTGTTCATAAGTCCCAAAGATTAGGCATGAACGTCTTTAGGGGTCAGTGTTTTTCCTGCCACAGAAGGTAGCAAATGCCCTTATAAGTGCCAGGAAAGGCATGCAAAGGGCACGTTCATTCTGTGTGTGTCATAGCTGACCTTGATAACCAAATGAACCAGGGACTTAGGAGTGGTGCTGCTACGCCTGCCTTGTCCCTTGTAAAGCCAGGGGTGACATGCCCTTGAACAGGGCCCTGAGATGTTCTTTAGCCCAGCGTCTGTGGCCTGGCAGCTGTGCCCTCCTCAGGACAGGACAGATTGATCTGACGCCAGTCCCTTCGGGGGAGGATTTGTCATTCTCTTCTTCACTGGGACTAGACACACAGGTGAGGAATGCCACCCTATACATCACCTCTGCAAGGCCAGCGTTGTTGAGAGATGCTGTCAATAGGTCAGGACAGTGGCTGCATATGTTCATGGACTCTTCCTCATTAGTTACTCTGAAGGGTCACTGGTCACAGGGGATATGAGCAAGCAAGAAACTGTCTTAGGAAAGTGAAAATAAAAGACTGTCAGCTATGGACCCAAAGACACCCTGTGGGAAATCCCTTCATGGTCACCCCCTTACAGCCTTCCATAGGATGCTATAGCTATGGTAATCTGTGCTTTTTTGCTGGGTAGGACATTGCTTTACTTACTGTGCATCCTGGAGGTAAATAGTATTGTCACTGAGACCCAGTGAATGGCGTGCAGGCACTTAGCACATCACTGTAGATCATTTTGGAAAACTCAGGGAACCTGGGTCTCCCAGGGTACATTTAGGTCGAGGAAAGGACACCATTCTGGAAATTTCACACCTGGTGAGAAGCCAGCTGTGGGCTCATGAAACAGCCACCTGGTAATTGAGCCTGACTGATTCTATGTGGGGCATGGCCCATGGCCTGGGTGCATCCTTATTCTCTCCTCTCTCAGTCCCAAAGTACAGAGTAGAACCCTGAATGTCACCGGGGCTCTGGTGTGCTTTTCTTCTTTGAATGCCACAAAAAGACTGTTCACAACGGTCATCTATTTCTCCTGTGCCCCTCACTCATGCCAGGTGTACCTGACACCAAGATGCCTTGTCCTCTCACGTTTGTGAATTTCTTGGCTACTTCCCTTTCCTCCTCTGGGCCAAACTGGGGGATCCTAGGAGTTTTCCTCAAGGTTATGGTTGCTGATAGTTGTGACAAAAAAAGTGTCCCTGACCCTCAGTGTTCAGTGTTGACACTTCTTGTGGCACTTGAATCTGCATTTCTGTCTGGGCAGCATTATGCTGAGTCTACATTCCCAGATGGGAACCTCGATGAAGCCTCAGGGCGCCTGTGCCACGCTGAAAGCTGGCTTACAAGTGGGTCAGATTTGACCAGGCACCCAAAGACGTCAGACCAAGAAAGAATTCTGAGTCAGACAAGGGTGGGAACAATGCCAGCCTTAGGGGCCTTAAATGTCACAAACGGGCATATGGCTTGGGCAGTGTGATTGTGGTGAGTGTGGTCATGGGGTTAAGTGTCACATGTTCAGAACTGATGACAGCACACACAGTCTAGAAACTGTGACACTAATTCGTACGGCTCTTGCTGGTGGCACTTTTTTCAAATGGGAACCCTCTTTATTTAAGGCGTAGGACAGACCAACTGTAGAGTCCTGAAATCTCAACTCTAATAGTGACTGTGGGGAAATCCAGGCCCACATTGACAAAAGAAGGCAAAATTGGTGATGCATGAGTGTTGGGGTTGGCCTTGACACTGGGGACGGGGTCCCAGGCCTCTGGGCCTCTCAGAGCTTAGCTGTCTCGCTTGTGAAATGGGTCCTCTGTGTGGCCATGTCCTGAGGTCTCTGCTTGCTCCTGTCCATCATGTCACTTATTCTGTTCATCCTCATTTTTGTCCTCTGCCTCAAATGACTCTGGCCCTAGAGACCCCCAAAAGACCTCTCAACCTCAACCCCAGAACAACTGGATGTGGATAGGGGTTGGGCTGGACCCTGAATGATTTTGAGCATGATCCCAGGCTTTGCCTCCTGGATGGAAGACCACCGAGCACTCATCAGCAACTCGTCCTCAGATGTTCTGTGTGAGGACCACTGTCTTATTACATCTTAGTTTGTCTATTGTGTACACTTGAGTGTGTATGTGCCATGGCATATGTGTGGAGTCAGAAGGTACCTGCAGGAATCAAAGTCTCCCACCCAGTTATTCTGAGACAGGGCTTGTGTACCCCAGACTGGCATCAGACTGAGGTTGGCCTTGAACTTCTGATCCTCCTGACTCCTGAGCGTTAGGATTACAGGGTACTGAACTCTGGATTTCATGAACTCTAAGAAAGCTGAATGTATTCACAGCTCAAGCAGCTTGAGTTTTGAGGCTTACCTGATATTTGTAGTAGTTCCCCCACCCATGTTTGAAGTCCCTGCTTTGAGAGTGTGACTTAGATAATGGGAGGGTTGGGGTAGCAGGGAGCTCTGATGCTCCCAATTCCCTGGGCACTTGAACTAGCAAGCACAGCAGAGGGTGTTTTGACATGTCACCGGTGGGCTTGAACCAGTGACTTCTTGATCTGCAGTCAAATGCTCCACCACTGAGCTATAGTCCCTCTTGCTTGTTTATTTATTTGTTATTTATTTTGTCTAGGTTTAGTCCTCTCTCATCACTGAGAGATGGTTACATTCTTTGCTCTTTGCTGCTACTCGGTGTTGGGTGGCCTCCGCCTCTCCTTCCAGGGATTAGTCCCTCCTGTTTGTTTTTACTGCTTCTCTTTTTTATTTTTCCCTCCCATTCCACCAGATCAGTAAAAGTCCCTCAGCCGACTTAAGAATAAAACTTAAATCCCAGGAAAGAAAGTCCCTGTGGGTGACAGGAAGGGACCGGTGGAGAGGCTTGGGTCACAGGAGAAGATGGGGTGGAACAAAGTGCGCGGCACACGTGGTGATGAAATCCATCATTTTGCACAATGCTCGTGTGTGGAAAGAGACTAGGCAGGGGTGGTGGTGCTTTCTGGGACCAGACCCCCCTGTGGGTGGTGGCAGGTGCAGGGCCTTTGCCAGAGGACTCTGGCAACTTTCAGAGCAGGTCTGGGGAAACAGCAGCACCTCAGGTGGAGTCAGGCTTAGGCTCCCTGCTGAGTCCAGAGACAAAGCTCAGAAGTTCCTGGCATCTTGCTGCAGACTCAGGAACTACAGAAAGGTGGTCCCGAGTATGGAATCCGATGAAAACTGAAAACCCAGCGAAGTAGCTCATTGAAACTACTTGTTTCTGCCATCTGTATTATGCACAGCTGCTGGGCAACAGATCTGGATGTCAGGACTCCAGCTGGCTAGAGGTTAGAGGTCACAGGGACTAGAGGTGTCTGCAAGGACGGCCACCACCCTGGTGAAGCCATACTGACCCAGGATAGCCTACAGGAAGGAGGAGGCAGAGGCTGCTGCCCTGAAGAGACCGTTCCTGAGATGGCCTCTGCCTGCAGTCCCTCTTGGGGCCCCGAAAAGGAGAAAGATTTCTAGAGATGGGAGGAGACTGACAACATGGCTGAGTGGTTGCTGGCACACAGGTTGGACCACACAAGCTAGTTCAGAAGAGCGTAGCTGAAGTTCCTGAGGCTTGGCAACTCTGGTCTTCAGGGAGAGACATTACTTAATGTAAATGAGGTCCAACAGTGTACGTCTGAATGGAACTCAGAATGAGGAATGTGAGACCTGCACGTGCTGTGATCCCAGGGGAGCCTTCCTGGAGGTGGTGAGCTCATGCTAAGTTCACAAAGAAAAGGAAAGCTGTCGGGATGAGGGGAGCCACACAGGCCGAGCTGAGGATGCGTGTGTCTTGGGGGCTCTAAGGCCAGACCTCTTAGCTGATGTTTATTAAAAATGATTAATAATTGAGAAGGTGTGATGGAAAATGAGGCGGGGCCCTCAGCACAGCAAGTGCCCAGTGTGGTTGAGTCAAGCTAGACATGAGTGGAAATGATGGCTCAGCAAGACTGAAAGACACCTCAGCCCTGAGATTCCCACTGATGGTGAGCTGGGGGCTATGGCCTGGATTAAGAGGAAGAAGTTCCCAGATAACATAAAGTTGTGTGACAGCATGTATCCATGAGATGGCTCCGTGGACATTCAAAATGAACAGAGTGTGATTCAGTGGTCCAGGGAAGCCCTGCCTTCAGGCTCTGATAGTCACTCGAGTGGTGACAGCAGCTCCTGCACTTGGAGCTCGGCTTTCTGCACACTCAGGGAAGTCTCCTGTGACTTAGGTCCAGCATGAAGGAGGACGATCCAGGCATCAGCCCCCTGCACACTGCATTCCGAGAATAACGTCTCAGTGAGTCTGGCAACTTGAGATGTGTGCCAGGGGTGGTGGCCAGGAGGGCAGAGGGGCTAGCAGTCCTTCACAAGGAACTCAGAGGACTCAAGACATTTGGGCTCAGAGAACATCTAAGGGGGAGGGATGAGTGTGTCACCCATCATTTTAAGAACTGAGGTTGCAAAGTACTGAGTTTGTCCTGTGTGGCTCCATTAAGTTGAGCCCAACTCAATGGAGGGATGTGGAGGAGTTTTTGATCACTACAAAGAGAATAGAGTATTGCAGAAATGGCAAGGACTGTCCCTTGAAGGAGGGGTGCCCAGCCCAAGATGGATGTGTGAGCTAGCTCTGCATATGAGAAGTTCCTCCACAGTTTGGGGGAGACAAGAAGCTCTTTGATCCCTTTCAGTTCTGAGCCTCTTCGCCCTGATACAGTAGACATAGCAGAAGAATGCTGAAAGGGACAGCATGCAGCCATGCATTTATTAATGCAGCCAAGGCATGCTGCTCCAAGAACTGTTCTTGGTATTGGGGTGGCCATGAGCCCACCAGAGACCTTCAAAAAGCAGGTCAGTGTCGGGGATGTGATCTGATGCAAATGGTAGGAGGGACCACTTTGGAGTGATGGAGATGGGAGCTGATGCTCTGTATATCAACACAGGTATGCATACATGTCTGTCACAAGTCCCTGCATTACAGACACTTCATATAGACACGTTTCATGATATTCCAGTAGTGTTGATTCAAAAAGGGAAGTTGTGCTGTTAGGACCATTTCATTCTTGTGGGGAGACAGAGCTCAGAAGTCAGTAAACACCAAAGTGACCAAACACCATGGTGCACATCTGAAACCCTAGGACATGGAAGGTGGACAGGAACATGACAAACTTGAAGCTAGCTTAAGACACAGTGAGCACCAGGCTAGCCTGGGATACATAGTAAAACCCTGTTTCAAAATAAAACAAAAGGGAAGAGTCTCCTGTAGCCCAGGCTGTCCTTGAATTCTTGATCCTCCAGCCTCTACTTCCCAAGTGCTGGGATCACTGTCCTGCACCTCCTCACACACCCCTACCTTTCCTCTCTCTTGGACAGGAGTATGAGTGCCTGGAACAGGAGAATGCCGGGCTGCGCAGGGAGATTTCAAAGCTGAAGGAGGAGCTGCGACACCTGAGTGAGGCTCTCAAGGAGCACGAGAAGATGTGCCCGCTGCTACTGTGCCATATGAACTTTGTGCAGGTTCGGCCAGACCCTGTGGCCAGCTGCCTGCCACGATGACACCACAGCTCATCCCTCTTTTGTCCAGCTCAGAACCTTGGTCTGCACACCCAAGAGTTTTAGTACACACCTGTGTCCAGGAGTACCTGTGGCTGTGCCCCTCCTAGGAGCTCTGGGGCCAGCCCGGGCTTAACATGCACTCTGGGGCACCTGTCCTCACACCCTAGAGCAGTGGGTCCAGAAAGCAGCCCGTAAGAGCTGCCCGCAGGAGTCACTCCGCACCCACTTTGGCAGCTAGCTGGTCCTGTCCTTAGGCAGGACCTTCCCTCTAGAATTTGGATAATAAAGATAGTGACCCCAGTTCCTTTGTCCAACTTCTTGTGATGGGGAACACACAGAGTTCTTGCTCTGGGAAGGTCATCCTGCTGCAGGCAGGTCCCTCTCCTGTTCCTCTCTCCGATGGCCACATGCATAGCAGACAGGGAAGGGTACCCTTGCCTATGGCAGAGCATAAGACAGTGGGATTTCTTTTGCCACCGAGGCTTCCAATACGTTTTTGACCCAGTTTTGACCCAGTGGGTGAGCTGGCTGTGACTCACACCTGTCTTACGTTTTACCCAGCCTTCTATCTGACCCAGCGCACCTCATTTCAGCTGCAGAATTTTTGTTATGGTTTTTATTTTTTTGAGACAAGATCTTACTCTGTAGCACAGGCTGGCTTGGAACTCAGAAATTCCCCTGCTGTAGCCTTTTAAGTACTAGGATTACTCCCCACTGATGGCATTTTTTCATTTCCTTCTTTTCAAAAAAAAAAAAATAATTGCTTTTATTTTATGTGTATGTCTGAATGCATGTCTGTGCACATGCATTAATAGCAGGAGTCCTCAGAGGTCAGAAGAAGGTGTTGGATCCCCTGGAACTGGAGGTTCAGGCTGTTGTGAGCCACCATGTGCCATGTGAGTCAGGGACTAAACTTGGGTCCTCTGCAAGAGCAGCAGCGCTTTCACTGCTGGGCCGTCTCTCCAGCCCTGAGAATTTTCTTTCCTGGATGGGCCTCCCGACTGCTCAGCTTGCACAGTCTGTCAGGACAGGGTCAGTGGACAGACTGCCCCCTCCCAAGTACCAACTCTCCTTGTAGAAATGCTGGAGCAATGCCAAGGAAAGCTGTGGGAAAGGCCCCAGGGGAGCAGTCGCCATGCTCTTACATTTCCCTTGGCCCTTCAGCATTGTGGAAGGTGGAGTCTTGTTTGTTTGTTCGTTTTGCTTTTCCAGACAGGGCTTCTCTGTGTAGCCCTGGCTGTCCTAGTACTCACTCTGTAGACCAGGGTGGCCTCAAACTCACAGATCCACCTGCTTCTGCCTCTCAGTGCTGGGAGTAAAGGCATGCACCACCACCACCAGGCTAGGTGCAACCATCCTATAAAGGGAACAAGAAGTGGGGACAGAAAGGAAAGGACTTTGTTGTGTGGATGCTAAAGAAGAAAAATGAAAGAAGAAAAAAGGGAAGAGAGGCTGCGCTGCCCAGATCATGTAGCCAGTGAAGTGCTCATCACATGAGCCAGAGGCCCCGTGTTCCAGTGCTCACATCTGTGTAAATGGGAAAGGCCAGGTATGTGTGGGGCACGCCTGTGACCTCAGCATTGCCAAGGACAGGCAGGTGGGCCTGGAGCTCAGTCGGTGAGTGCTGGGCTTAGTGGAAAGGCTGTCTGGGGCAGGGAAGAAAGTGGAAGAAGAAAGAGTGGGGGAGGGGCGGCGAGCAAGGAGAAGACATCCAGGGCAGACTTCTCCTTCTAGGTGCATGAAAGCACAGGTGCTGGCACACATGAACACGTAAACATGTGCCACGTGCACACTAAAAAAGCAAAAGTTGGAGAGAAGAAAACACGATGAAGAAAGAATAGACTGTGGTCCCACCTAGGCAAAGGGCTGGTCCCCCTGTCCTGGAAGGCACCCATTCCCCTTGGTCTCTAACATGCAACGGCTAAAGTTGCATAATTCCTTTATGAGGCCTAAGAAGCTAGTGTTAGAAGACAGGTGTATGTCTGCTGGGAGAACCACAGAACGGCGTATTTTTAAGTACATGAGATGTTAACATCATCATGTCTACCCTTCAGTTTGCAGATGAGGGTTTTGGGGCCAAGATGAGGAAGTCACTAGTTCAAGAGTGCTCCCTGCTGGGTGCAAAGTTCAAGAGTGCTCCCCGTTGGGTGCCTTACAGTCAGGCCAAGGTCCCTGGCCAGCAGCTGGCTCCTGTTCCTAAAGTCTGAATGTGAGGTGTTCTGGCAGCAGAATGCCAGCAGGGGACTGTGGTTGAGGATAACCTATCAGTGAGGGGTGGACTCTTAGCTCAATCTACAAATTCTGTTGATTCTTTCCTAAAAGTCCCATAGCCACCCACTTAGTTCCAATATGCAATTGCTCTATCTGCTATCAATAACTATATTCAAATTAGCTTCTGAACTCTTGAAACTTCCTCTCTATCAGCAGTGTGTTCACTGAGGTTTGGCTTGAATTGGAGGAGGACGCAGAAGGCCTCTGCCTGTTCCCTGAGCAGTGGTGTGGTAGGCAGGGAACCCAGACCAGGATAGCCCAAGGTACTGGGGATTGAATCCCCTCTGAGAAAGCAGGAGAGGACAGACATTGTGAAAACCAAACACTCGCCAAGCTACCTCTACTCTGAAAAAGTAAAAGTCCTGCATGGTGTCAAAAATGACCTCGTATCTAGGAAAGATGAGGGACAGGGGACTGGCTGAGGATGAGAATCAACCAGCTGTCTTCACTTCTGCTGAGGCCTCGGAGGGGTCTGCTGGGTTTGGGGGAGGGGAGGCTGCTGAACAAGGTCCCCAAAGCAAAGAAAGTGTCAGAGAGGGAGGAAGCTGGTCCCTCACACCCACACAACCACACAATTTCCTGTCCGAAATCTTGCTGCACTTTGCACCAGCCTTTAGCAGCTCAGGGTTTTCAGGGCTGAATTGGGACCCAGTTTTGACCTGGAACCTTGTTAAGAACATTGACCGTACTGGACAGGAAAGCAAAAGACACCCCACCTTCCTACTCCCACTCCCAATTGCCTTTCCCAGTGATGGGTCTCTCTCTGCAGCCCAGGGTACATTTACTGACAGGAGGCTGTAGGCTTTACCCCCACTAGAGCTAAGAGCAAAGGGGCAGCCCCAAGACTCCCCAATGTGCCTGTCTCCCCTCTATACTCAGGAGGTCCTGGTGAGGTCATCCATGCCTCACAAGAAGACATTTAAGAGAGGGGAGAGAAGAGAGAGAGAGAGGGAGAGGGAGGGAGAGGGAGGGAGAGAGAGAAGGAGGGGAGATACAGAGAGGAGAGAGGAGAGACAGAGAGAGGAAAGAGAGGAGAGGGCAGAGGGAGGGAGATAATGGTGACTTAAGTGTCCTGACCTATGTGCCCCCCCACCACCACCAGGGCAGTCCCGATGAAGCAGAACAAAGCACTGTTGGGAGCCCTCAGAAATGCAGTACAAACTTGGAAGTGCGAGCATTCAAGGCCAGAATATGAGTACTGCACTGCTGCTTAGAGGCAGCAACTTCTCAGGACTGCTCATCCAGAAACCACATGGCCACACTTTAACATTGCCAGTTTGACGGGGTCTAGAATCACCAAAGAAGCAAACCTCTGTCCTCGTCAGTGAGGGGCTTTCTAAATTGGGTTCACTGAGGTGTGAGGACACATCTTAACTGTGGCAAGATCCTATGGGCTGGGATCCCAGGCTGAAGAGAAAGGAGAAAGGCTGGCCACCAGTGTTCCTCTCTGCTTCCTAACGCAGACGAAATGTGTCCAGCCGCCCCACGCTCTGCAGCATCCCTTTCCCGACATGATGGGCCAGAGCCTTTCTTCTCTTGTTTTTAAAACTTAAAACTTATTTGTTTGTGGAAGGAGGGGCACATACATGAGGAGGTAGATGAGGTCTCCCCTTCTACCATGGGGGCCCCAGGGATTGGAGTCAGCTCATCAGGCTTGACAGCAGACACCTTTACCCTTTAAGCCATCTAACAGGCCCCTGATCTTTCTTAAATGTAGCCCAAATCAACCCTTCACCCTTGCCAGGAGTTTGGTCGCAGCTACTAGAAAATAGGTTGGGGCAAGGGAGATGAGTGTGGCTACTAGCCTCCCTGTTGTCCTCACCATCGACATTAGAGTGACTCTTATCAAAAGTCTATCTGTAGCCAGTGTCAGTGAGCTCAGTGGGACTTCCTTGATGGGCTCCTAGCCTGAGACCACTCACCTGAACTTTGGGTGTTCTAGCATGACATTTTCTAGTCCAGCATTCTTAAGAAGACCAGAAATGTCACAGAGATCAGACAGAAGACTACTGGCTCAGAATTGTGACCACAGCCCTGAGGGAAAGTGTGAGGGAGAGTCCAGTGTTTGCACCCTGAAAGGCCAAAGATGTGCATGGGACATCCCTGATTCCCCTTAACAACCGGCTACCTCTCTGCTATTCTAGACATCTGGTCTAGGTTTCCAGTGCCTGGGTGCTCCCCTCTGTGCCCAGCCCTCTGGGTTCTCAGGCAGTGAGGCTGAGAAAGCACAGCTTTCTTCTGAGCATCTCCAAATTTCACAAAGCCTCCTCCAAATCCTTCCTCTAGACCAGCAGCAGGGCCCAAAAGTACTTTCCAGAATGTCACAAACTGACAAACACACTGCAGGCTCCATTTCCCAGGTGGTCCATCTTGAAACAGAGAGAAAGCAGTTCGAGAAGCGTCAGTGGTGGCTAGAGTCCTTAAAGGGTGGCAGAGTCCAGTGCAGAGGTACACACTTGTAACGCCAGCACTCGGGAGGTCAAGTCAGGAAAATCACTGCAAGTTTGAAGCCAGCTTGGGCTACAGAAAGTACCAGGCTACAAAGTGAGAACCTGTCTAAAATTAAAACAAAGAATGGAATGTAGCTCATTTGGTAGATTTGCTTGTGTAACACGCACATAGCTATGGGTTAGATCCCCAGCATCTTATAGTCCAGGTGTGTAATCCTAGCACTAGGAGGTAAAGGCAGGAATATCAGATGTTCAAAGTTAGTCCAAAGTTATCCTCGGCTACGTAGATTGAGGCCACCTTGGGATACAGGAGATCCAGTCTCAAACAAAAACAAGCAGTATCTAAAACAAGGGGAAAGCAAGTGAATGCATTCTAGGGCAGTGGTTCTCAACCTTCCTGACACTGCGACCCTTTAGTACAGTTCCTCATGGTGTGCTGACCCCAACCATAAAGTTATTCTTGTTGCTACTTCAGAAGTGGAATTTTGGTACTGCTATGGGTAATAAATCTCTAATGCGCAGACTCTGAAGGAGTCCAGTCCCACAGGATGAGAAACACTGCTCTAGATGGTTCTTT